TGGAAGGTAATTCGCAATAAAACGACACAATCGCATCAAGTTTGGGTTTGGTTCAATTTTAATTTCTGTGATGGGTCTGGGTGTTAATATGTATAATAAGTTTGTATTTACAAAAAAAATTTATTTAAGTATGTTTATATCCGTTTTCTAGTGAGCGGACGCTGTAAATGTACGTCACACGGGGTCACGTGACCGTCGGCGGGACTCAATATTTAAGCGAACTTTGAATGCCTATAAAATCATAACTACTGGGTATTTTTGAATGAAATAAAAACTAATGTATTTGTAAATGTAAAAGCTTAACTGTAACATAGGTTTCAAGTGATTTTGCATACCTAGTAACATTCTCAATTACGCGCGAGCGATAAGGATGGGTAGCTTGGGGTCATTGGACGGGATTCTACGTGCTCACGGACCAGGCTTTAGTTAATTAGTTCCCAGGTATCATCATCATCGTTAAATTGACTAGTTAATTAGTTAGAAGCACCACCCCCTCTAAAATCATCATCGTTGTCATCAAGTCGTCTAGTCTCCTCTGCTGAAGCACGACCGTTTCTAATTTGATTAACATTGGGTCATTTAGTATCCACTATCCACTACGATAATAACACGACCTCTATAATTTTGTTATCATCAGGTCATTTAGTCCTCACTGCTGAAGCACGATCGCCTGTGATTTTTATCATTTTCATCATCAGCTCATCTAGTCCCCACTGAGCACGACTTTCTCTATTTTCATTATTATTACCTAAGCACGACGTTCTCTAATTACGGTCTGCACCACCCCATTCATAAGGAAATAAATAAGGTATAATATCGTTTAGTATCTACTGCAGGAGCACGACCCTATCTATTTTCATCAGCATCAAAATCATCAGATTCAGGACGTTTAGTCCCCACCGCTGAAGCACGATCGTCTGTGATTTCATCGTCGTCATCTCCATCACACCATTTAATCCCCACTCCATGAGCACGACCCTTTCTAATTTCAACGTTAACACCATTATGTCATTTAATCCCCATCACTGAAGCACGATCATCTCTGATTTCACCATCATCATCACCAGGTCTTTGTCTCTACTGCCAAAGTACGTCCCTCTCTCATTTCAAAGTCAATATCAGCAGATGATTTTGTGCCCACGACGCTCTCAATTTCATCATTGTCAGGTCAGGTAATTTGGTCCTGGAGTAGGGCCCAAATGGCCAGCCTCTCTAATTTCTTTATCATTCGGTGATTTAGTCTCAACTACAGGAGCACGACCCTCTCTTACTTCAACGTCAACATCATCAGGTCATACTCCCAACTGCCGCAGTAAATCTAAAGGCAAATGATGGATTTGGGTTACGCTCCCCACGTCACGCTGACCAAATAGGATAGGGAGGCTAAATGTTTGAATATTTGTCCCTTTTGTCTCCATATTTGCATCAAAAGGTAGACTGAGATAGTTGGTCCATCTTGGTCATAAACTCTCACAAATTAGTTCCATGATGCAGGTTATTTTCGTGCTTTCACATTTTAATAAGCGTTGTCTGATGTCTTTCTCTGTTCGCACAAGCAATTTCCAACTTTATTATTGTTGCAGGAACAAATCAATTCCAATGGACAGCGACAGCTTAGTACTGTGGCGGCGGCCCTTCACCACCCTCGAGTACTTCTTTAGAGAACTTCTAATACTGATCAGCACTGGACTGCAACGGTAAAAATATATGCTAATTTGAATAGATTACCGCCCGTATTCACAAACGATGCTTGCATAAGTGAAGCAGCGAATCAAACGCACAGCGTTAAATAGAGCTCTGTGATTGGTTCACGTGTCACCCTGTGCGTCCACGCGCACTGTGAGACCTCATAGTAATGTTTGTGATGAGATAAGATTTATATATTCAGTATAGATCGTTTCATCCACGAAGACGCGCCCCACCAATTTTTGGTCGAGGGAAGCGCGGGGTGCGGGGAGTTTGATCCGAGCAATCCGAGCGTCATTATTGTAGTGTGCGTGTGCACTCATGGATAATTTATCGTGTACCGATAATACTCAAACATTAGCGGAAGAATGGTGGGGCGCGTCTTCGTGGATGAAACCATCTATAAATATAGTTTGATTTGTTTAATTTACTTATTGAAGAATCTGAAGATGCTTATTTGAATGTTGTTTATTATTTGCAGGTTATTAGCGTATAGACTACTGGCGTTATCAACCATTGTGCTAGCAGCCAGTACAGTTGTGTCTTACTACATTAGTGGGCCACACCAGGCTTACGTACATGTAAGTAAAATATAATCATGTTCATAGTAATTATGTCATGCATGTTAAAAATATACGTCGGTGGAACACCATTGCTATTTTTAATTGCTGACGAATTTAATTATCATCGATACTTTTCCCTGAAAACATCACTGTGGTTTCAAACTACCTATTTTTCAGTACGCCCAATGATAAAAGTATTAGCACGCCTTCAAATTAGAGTCGCGCGTTTGCGTTTGTCACGGTTAGTGGCGCTTTTAGGTACTGTAGAAGCACAGTAG